TCTGTCTTGTTCACTGAGACAGGCAGTGGCTGGCTTTTGTGTGAGGTGCTTTGCTAAAGATCAGATGCCTAGAGCTGCTAAGAAGGGTATCAGAAAATTAAAAAAAAACAAAAAACAAAAAACAGAGCCCAGCCTGGCACAGTGGCTCACGCCTGTAATCTCAGCACTCTGGGAGGCCAAGGCAGGCAGATGGCTTGAGGTCAGGAGTTTGAGACCAACCTGGCCAACATGGTGAAACCATGTCTCTACTAAAAGTACACAAATTAGCCAGGTGTGGTGGCAGGTACCTATAATCCCAGCTACTCAGGAGGCTGAGGGAGGAGAATCAGGAGGCGGAGGTTGTAGTGAGCCAAGAGCACACCACTGCATTCCAACCTGGGTGACAAAGCAAGACTCTGTCTTAAATTTAAAAAAAAGAAAAATGAAAACGCACACACAAAAAACTCCGGGGCCCATCCAAATAATCTTACTTGCCCCCAGAGAATGGCTCCCTGCCAGACTGATGAAGATGCAGTATCAGCGCTCATCAAGAAAGCAGGAATGATCTCACTACAGGGAAGCTACAGAAAGTATTAGTAGGGCATTCAAAAACTTAGAAATCTAAAGGACTCCAGTAACCAGGATCTAAAAGGATGTGATGTGACCTTATGATCAAATGTTAGCGTCTCCACTAGCCTACGGGGTCCTTAGGGTCTAAGACCTTACTTTAAAAAAAAAAAATCTACCCCCAGGACATAGCGTATTTCTAGAACCTGGAATATAAGAATCATTTCATGAATACTTGAGGAATAGTAGTACCTAATCTCCCCTGGACCATAGCTGTTCCACTTAATAGGGTAGGCTTGTAAAAATCAGAGCTTTCTAAAGTGTGGTCTGGAGACCTCTAGTGGTTGTCTGCAGTTCACATAAGGTCAAATTCTTAAGGATGACAGATTAGCAAAGAGCCAAATATCAGGACACAGGTTAAGGCTTGAGATGAGTGAAACAAGTGGGTGCTACGGTAGAGGAATAAACTAGAGAAGTTTAAAAATGAAAGCCTTTTTCAAAGTATCTAAATTGTAAGATAAAAATGCAACAAACAAACTTCCCAACAAACTGACGCCAAAAGAAAAAAAAAAGGCTATAATTTTACCTGAATGTGATACATATGAAGACAGCAATGGTTTCCTAATAATCACCTGTATTGCCAATTACAACAAATCTAGTTCATACCCTCTCATACCACTACTTAGTTTTTTTTTAAATTTAATTAAACAAATGATTAGTATTTTAAAGCACATTGTTATTTGAGAGGTCATAATACAATTCAGGAAGAAAAAAAATCACCCCTTTATAAATTTGAGGCATAGAAAACAGGAAGAAAACATTCTGTATACATTAAAGACAGTCAACCCTCAGAGAAACTGCAGATCTCACTTTTGTAGAATGTTACTTATGCTGGAGAGACACCACTCTTCCCACATTATACTGGGAGTCTCACACTTAAGTGAAATGAGCATCATTCTCAGTAGGCAGTCTCATCTTCCTGGACTCTGAAATCACCTTGCCTGGATTCATACCACAGTTCAACATCTTACTAACGGGATAAACGTGAGCAAGTTACTTAACCTTTATGTATTTCAGTTTCCTCCCTTCTAGAAGATGAATCCAAAGAACCGAGCACAGTAAGGAGTCAACAAGTGTTTATTACAATTAATGTGCTAAAAATGACCTAGTATGACTCACATAAGTCAACGAAGATTTGATTTCTTCAAAAAGAATTTAAAAGCATATTTATTTTAGAAACAGCTTCCATGAGTCCACAATACTCTCTTAAAATGCAACTTTTTCTCTTCGTTTATTAACTGAAAAATAATCACACTCAATTGAGATTATAAATATTTGAAATGCCCTAAAAATAAGTAGTTGCCACAGGAAAAATCATTAACTATAAATCCTACTCATCTAAGAAGTGGAGGGCATAAAGGAGAGACTTTTTTCTTTATAAAACTATTTACAGTTTTGTAAACAGCTATGAACATAACTCCAGGTATGGACCAAAATGTTCTAGCAAAAAAGGACCTTGTAAAAGAAAAAAATCATTTCTCTTATAAAGTTATTTGAAAGTCTATGATGTTTCTGAAGCTGTTTGGTCAACTTTACAGTCACAATAGGAGAGTTTAGATTAAATATGAGAATACCTGGAGTTGCAAAGAGGGAGAGCTGAGATATCTGAAGAGAAGAAAAATGTGCTTTATTATACGTATCAAAGAAAACATAAAAGTCCATATCCCTAAGACTTTTCTCCTTCTCCTCAAATTTTCGGTGAAAAAACAAGTCATCTACCCAACTAGCTACTCAACCCATTAGATCTCTGAACAATACAACTCATGTAGACAACTCCTTGCTTCAAAGCAGAAAGTTCATCCTATAGAAAGTAGAAAATAAGTACAGCTTTTTATTTAAAAAAAAGAACAACATCAGGAATACCAAGAGCAAAGTCTGGCAGAAAATTACTTTCCACAGTGGCTGAAATATAACTATTTTTTATTGGGAACTCCACAGGTCAGTACTTGAGTCAATGGTTTTCTATTAATTCAGTTTATAGCTAATGTACTGACAGATAATGATCTGAAATACTTGCACCCAAAATAGACTCGTAATCTATTATTCCAGTTCCCTCTATAACCACTTTTTCACCCACCACACGAAGTTCTCCAACAGAATCTGCATATTTGCAAAGCGTTCTCCTGATGTTGACATTGCATTACAAATGACCGAGAAAAATTTCAGAAACAACTTGGAAAGAGAACAGAAGCATTTTTACTCATGTTTTCCTATTCAACTTATCTATATGTAAATGATGATCATCAGTAACTATTCACTAAGCTTTCAAAAAAGTGATTGGCACATATAGTCCTCAGCAAGATTTAAGGGACGAGGTATAATTTGAGAACATAGGGTATAACATAAAGTTCCCAAGAGTTCATGCCATAACACGACATATGACAAGAGATTCTCAAGAGTGAGCACCTTGGGAGAGGAATATTCTATTGTTCTCCATAAAAAATGGGAGTGTGGTCCTCAGCAGTGGCTTTGAGCCTAGATGGAAACAAAATTATAATTTCCATCTATACCCCCTTAATGGCTTCCCATATTCACCACCCCCATTCTCATTCATCTAGCCAATTTGAAAGATGAGATAAGAGTAAGAAGAGAGAAACGGAATGAGAATGAATTTCAACAGGTGAGGGTGTGGCGCAGAAGTTATTTTCAGGAACTCATGCTATTATATTTTTGAAAAAGTTAAGTGAACAGCCAAATGTTATGCTTTATCAGAAAGGAGCTAGGAATTCAACCTTCATAGAAAAATTTAAATTCATTGGGGGAAAAACCTTGACATTAACGAAAAAAAGTATGTAATATTATAGTCATCAATGCTTATAAACACAATGACCCCATTTGATACATTTTTACTTCTCTCATTTTAGATCTCCACCAAACTCTAAGTCACATTCAAGCATGAAAATGGCTTAATAATCGGAGGCTCAAAACTTGGAGTGTTTATTATGGAAGTGACCAGTATATAATCACTAATCATTACCATATAAAATTACAATCCTTTTCATTATCATGCAATGTTAAGTGGGAAATGTTCAAGAAAAATATTCTAGAAATATGTTTTCTTGCATAAATATTCCTGTTACAAATGTGTGTCAAAGACTACTATAAAACTAAAATTTGTTTTTCTCATCTAAGTCATCTCAGTGTTTAAAATTCTATTGGCTAACAATTGAAGTGTTTACTTTGTCTAGATTCTCTCAGAAAAAAACCTGCATAACAGCAGTTTCTGAGACACAAGGAATTTGAAATGAACTGGATATTGTATGACTCCAAGGAATTACAGTTTATGTATTAGGTGTGATAATGGTACAGGGTCATGTGAAAACTGTTCATAATTTAAAAATATATATATCAAAGTACGAATAGGTGAAATGAGATTTGCTTTAAAATATTTTAGACAAGAATTGAATCTGACAATTCAAATAATTGACAATTTGACAATTATTGAATCTGAGTAATGGGTTTCTGGAGGTTCGTGTATTATTTTTCAGAGTTTTGTGCAAGTTTGAAATGTTTTATAATAATTTTTTAAATATTTAAAAACATTATATTGTCTAGATACACTCATAAAGAACTCTGGCAGGCAAGGAAAAAACGTTTATATTTAAAATTTAAATTTTAAATTGAAGTACAATATTTAAAATTTGAATTTTAAATTTAAAACTCAAGTGCAAAAATTAAGAAACTGACATTTTAAAATCTATTCTTTTATACAGCGAATCTGGATTTCATCTAATTTAAGAAAAAGCTTTAATGAAGACCCTATTAAAAGGCTGTATCAAATGAGGACTTACAATGCTTTATTCCAAAGCAACAAAATGCATATGCCCAAAAGATATATAAAAACAGGCGTGCATTTAGCAAAAAAGAAAAAAAAAGCAGTCTTTTCTCTGCTACAAATGTTTAAAACTCACAGTATAGTCTTTCTATCTTCCTTCTTTAGGGAAAACCATATGATGAGAAAACAACTCAGCAACATGTCTGTGAATAATGCCTAGCAAAGCTTTAAAAAAAAAAAAAAAAAAGCTTCTAGCCAAAAAGACTAAGAGGGAAAAATGAACATTTTCAAAAGCATTTTGGAACCTTATTTCCAGCTACCTTCGTGCTAAGCCTTCTTTTTCCTCCCAAAATACGTCACTTAACTGTCTGTCAAATAACTCTTGCCCATTCTACCTGATCACACTCTGAAGCTGCAGCTTTTCCTGCATTCGCTTCTCAATGACAAGCTGCTCAAACAGAGAACACCTATCAAAACGAGTATCATCATCTGCTCCTTTCTTTCTTCGTTTCAGGATATACTGCTGTCCATCAGGGGAAGCAATTAATGGGTTTTTTATGTATGGAAGCGTCATCCCATCAGTTTGCTGTCTGGTTTGAATAGCTCCTGTCAGCTCTTCATTCACGCCAAGTACGTTCACCGGACAGAGATATGATAAAGCCATACCACCTTTTGGATTTTTACCGCACTATTCAAAAAACAGTGCACCAGAAGCATGGGTCACAAAAGCACAAGGAGGACAGAAGAAATGCCTTCATCCTCGACAGAAAGGAAGCTAATGGACTGAAAAGTTGGTAAGCAGAAAGGAAAGCAAGAGAGTACAAGAACATCCACGCTTCTAGTCCAGATAATGTGTTTTAAAACAGCTTGATTTGGAAGTGCGTGTAATTCTGAAATACGAACAAGCAGAAGTTTTCCAGAGGTAAAATGTACATAGGAATACCAGGTTTTCTCATTGCTGAAGCATTCAATGAATCTTTAATAAGTTCTGAACACTCAAATTGTCTGTGGTCAGATCAACTGCTGTTATCAGATAAGGCAAAACTCACCCTTCTGCTTCTATAATCCTATCCAAATAGACTCTTCACATACCGCATACTATCCTAACAAATGCTACAGGATTATCAGGAATACAGATATAAAGACACTGCAAGAAATAAAACACTGGCAAAAGAAAACATGAAAGGAAAATAGAGAATTAATTTCAGGTCTCGAAGCTTACTATTTCCAGCCAGAGTTCAAATTACTGAGCTTCAAACAAACCACTGCCAGGTAAGATTTAATTTTATAACCTTAATTTATATCTTGTCTACCGGAATTAAATCTGCTCGTGCTGTGAATGAACTAGTGGATTTGAATTTCATGCAACCGTTTCCTTAAGCTTTTGCAGATTTAAGCTGAGGTAAATACTTGTTTTTACTTATGGTGCATAAACAAGTCACTCATAGATAATAAAGCATCTAAAACTCCCATTCATTTTTCATTGAATTTGTCTCATCATTTGTCTTTATTTTTCATCCCAATTTTGTTTTATTTAATAGCTTGAAAAAAATGCATGAAGAGAGTTCTGAATGGTGCATGAGGGCCATTCACAGACATTGTTTACCAACAATATTCAAATAAACTTTGCTTCCTAGAGTACTTGATGAGAGAAGGAAAAATTAATAAGTAATTTAAATATTTCTCTTCATACAAAGGAACAAAAGCTCAATGACTGATTTCTATTGTTAGCAGGAAAAAAAGCTGTGATGTCATTTCATTCATACTAAAGAAAAATAATCTCTACTAAATTAAGGTATATAACACTCTTGTAAGGATGAGGCTAATTTATCCTGAAGATACAAGGCAATTTTATAACAGACTAAATGTAGACATTTTTCTGATTTAACAAGAGGACGAAAGGATAAAAGATGTCTGGTACCTTAAAACCTCAAAGCTTTGACTCAGGTCAATGGTCAAAACTATAACATGCAAAGCACTAGTGAAGCCATCAAAGAATTTTAAAAGATACAGTGCCTTTTAGAAATTCCCTAGAAATCACTGCATAATAAGACTTCTAGAGAGACAATCTTACGTAAAAACAACAGAAAGGAATCATCTGATCTTCTTCATCTGATATTTTAATTTCCTACATAGATTTTTTTTTTTTAGCAGAAATCCCAATGACATTGGTTTTCATATAAGTTTCTTTGGAAAAGTGAGGTCCAAAGCACCTTAACATAAAGAAGCCATACAAATAATCCTATTTCTATTATCTTAGAAGGGAGGAGACAGGGAAACAAGAGTAAATCACACCTAACTATGGAGATCTTGTGATAATACACATAAAGTTGTCAGAAGTAAGTATTCAATACTTATCTAAAAGTAGTCCAATTTGAAACTGTCTTCCATTTCACTGAATTCTTTCACCAAATTTTAGTTAAGGGAGTAAATTATATGATCCCTTCACACTTTCCAAGACAGTCTATAAATAACCTTAAATATCATAAGTCTTTTGCATCTGAAGTCATTACAGAAACTTACCTGTCATTTTCAAGTAACAAAGGAAAACAGAAATTTAATACAAGTAGTGATTATCTAATATGCCAATTTGTTTCAGAGAAAAAAGTGTTTATTTAAAAATCTCAAAATACTTCAAATGTACACCAGACATAACTAAAAGTTAAGTTGCTGTTGTTTACCTACACTAAGAAATAGCTGAACCCTTAAGGGTTCTTTCATCTGTTTCCTCCTTATTATATTACAGTTTGTAAATAGTCATGATTCAAAAATATGTAGATATTTTAAATGAAGAATACCAATCAATATTTTAAATTGTAATTAAAGATTTTTAATTAACTTGGACACAAGTATGAAATTTATATTATGCTCAAACAATTTGCTTCCAATAAACAGAATTAAAGGGGGAAATAACAATATTCCTTAAGTGTTCTGGATTTTATTTACTCATTGTAATGTAAACAGAGACTCACATCCCACTAATCTGGGGCTTTCTTTCTATAACTCACCTTCCAATGACAATGGATGGGCAAATGAATACTACCTCACTCCTCCCCAGTCTGGTCCTTGTCAGCATCAATCCCAGTGAATTTTCACTTTCCTATCCAAGTCAAGGCTCTCTCTGCTCTATAATAACCCATTTAAGAAACGTGATTATTGAAGTTTCAATGACAGCTTTCAAAAAAATACCCTACAGCAATTTGGAGTAATCGATATTTTCTTCACACAGAGTGAAAAAAAAAATTGATAACTGCTTCAACTTTACATCTCATGGGTACAAATGGATAAGACATTTTATGCTAGTACCTGAGGATTTGGTTTATTTATAGGAATTTTTCTCTAGTATTGATAGATTTAACAAAGAGATTTTGAAGAGTCCTGGAATGTAGTCAATGACTATTTGTTTCTGCAATTGAGAATGTATTTCTTTCACACATATTATATAAAAGTATTGTATGGTAAAAGCAATGCGATTGTGTATTATTGGTTTCTTTCATAGAAATGGAGCAAATATTTTGGCTGCCATATTCTTATAATGATACCTATTACTATATCCTTAAATTCTGGTCATTGTAAATTATTCAAAAGCTGTAAGCTTTTTATTTAAACCATGATAAAATAAAAATAGGCATACAGGACAAAATGAACACATCCATTTTGTGTCTGTTGACATAACAATCTTAAAAGTAATTTCTGTCTGAAATACCAATTTTATATACAAGATATACAATTTTGTCCATAAAATTAGAAACATAACTAAAATCCATTTTTGTGTGTTAGCATTTAATTTAAAGGGACTGATATTACATAATATTTTTAAATGCATTAAATTTGTATTTACTTATATCTATATTATTATAACTTTAAGTTTTCATAAGGAATTTTTTTCATTCCATTATAATGGCACAGTGTTGCAAGCTTAATTCAACCGGGCATTTTAACTAGCCAATATATTTGTTCCTTATTATGGTTAATCTTCTTTATGAAGTGACCAAATTTGAACAAGGATGTAGTTCACCCTGAAGATGCATCTCCTCTCCAGCTTCTTCCTGCTGAGAGGGAACAATCTTTGGTTTGTGACATCACAATCTGTGACTGGGAAAGTGGCTCTGATATCAAACAGATGATTATATCCTTTCAGTGTGAACTAGCTGAAAGAGAGATGTGAGCACTATTATTTCAAGTCATATGAACAAGACACTAAAGAGATTCATGACAGGAACTGAATTAGAGAAAGATGCTTTTATTGCATTTGTCACTTTTTCAGCATCAACCATTGAAGATAAAAGTACCATCTCATAGTTGTCTTCATTAATAATTTGGAAGTGGGAGTAAACATCATGTTGGTTAAATTCACAGACCAAGATAAAATGGGAGTAAGGAAAACACCAATCAGCAAGCAGACAGTCACGAAAGAGGCCCCTAGAGAACTGAGGAAAAAATGCAGAATCTCACCTTAGTTCAAACAGAAATACTGATGCTACTCGGAAAATTAAAAATTACCAAAACACCCAAAATGGGAAAGATGGTCTCTGAATGAGAAAGAGATCCCTAAATATAGCTTATAAAGTGATCCCATGACATAGATTAATTAGTACCTGACACATGGACTAGTATAAGGGCAGGGAAGGGGCTGGTTAACACCTTTCTAAGAAACCATGAATTTGTTGAGAAAAAAAAAAACTACTGTGTTCTGTCAAAGTCTTCAACAAATATTTGTAAAAAATAAGTAAAAATAAATCAGGAGTTCAATAAAGGAAACAAAAATGCGAGCTCCTCTTACAAACACATAGGCATATACAGCCTCTTTTTGTAATCTTTACTTGCAACTGTAGCCAAAGGACAAAGCAGACCAACGAATCCTTCCACACTGAACACATGTGCAGTCTGTCCTTTGATTAGTGGCAATACCCTGATTCAAAGTATCAGTCATTTGTGACTGACCCTCCTAGACTCAGAGACAATACAAAGATGATATGTAAAAAACACAGTAACAACTCCACGCATAATTACAGGTCGAGCTGAAGTCTCAACATCTATAGTTACACAGATTGCAGATTGCTTGATCCAGGAGCGTGAAGAGAATTCTTATGAATTGGTTCATCACAGCCACTGGATTATTCAACAGTTGTTTAAAGATGCTGACATTCTCCATTTTTCATGTTGAAATTATTAGTGAAATAACTCGGCCGGGCACGGTGGCTCAAGCCTGTAATCCCAGCACTTTGGGAGGCCGAGGCGGGTGGATCACGAGGTCAAGAGATCGAGACCATCCTAGTCAACATGGTGAAACCCCGTTTCTACTAAAAATACAAAAAAATTAGCTGGGCGTGGTGGCATGTGCCTGTAATCTCAGCTACTCAGGAGGCTGAGGCAGGAGAATTGCCTGAACCCAGGAGGCGGAGGTTGCGGTGAGCCGAGATCGCGCCATTGCACTCCAGCCTGGGTAACAAGAGCGAAACTCCGTCTCAAAAAAAAAAAAAAAAAAAAAAAAAAGAAATAACTCAAGAATATGGACCAATCAGAAAACATTCCTTTTATAGACATATTGTTTGATGTCACACTGTTGTTGTCATCTTCAGACTATGTGGGCCTTCTTATTTCCTGATTATCACTATAGAAGTGTAGCACTCAATAATGTGTTCTTTAAGAAAAGCTAGAGATGATTTCCAGTTCAGGTATCAACTAAAAATCCTTAGCTATTTACAGAATTTTTTGGTACAGTTACCTAGAAAGCTGTCGGTGTACATCTATCAGGCTCAGTATAGAACATGGTACAACACTTAATATTTCATCAATTGTATACCTTCCCTTCGTGTGTTGCAAGGACACAGCCCCCTACATGCAGTATCTTGTGCGTAACTTGTGGTAACACCAACAGAAGAGCTTTTCATGCCTAGGAACTTCCACAACACTTTGAGGATACTTCTTTTATAACACCTTGTTAGATTGCACTGAAAACCTATTTATGGCCAAGCATAGCGACTCATACCTGTAATCCCAGTGCTTTGGGAGGCCAAAGCAGGAGGACTGCTTGAGGCCAGGAGTTTGAGACCCACCTAGGCAACACAGCAAGACTCCACCTCTATAAAAAAAGTTAAAAAAAAAAAATAAGGCCGGGGGCGGTGGCTCAGCCTGTAATCCCAGCACTTTGGGAGGCCAAGGCGGGTGGATCACGAGGTCGAGAGATCGAGACCATCCTGGTCAACATAGTGAAACCCCGTCTCTACTAAAAATACAAAAAACTAGCTGGGCGTGGTGGCGTGTGCCTG